CCCTACAGAAACATTTCAAACTAATAAATTTAGAAGGAATGAAGGAAACAGAAAGTCACCATTGGAACACAATGGCAAGATCCATCAATGAATGCTAAAATTAGTTGGCAAAGTTTAAGGAGAAACAGGATATTTATACAGCCTCAGAGTATTTCCCTCAAAATATGTATTAATTTCAAAATGGAAAACAGTAACTTTATAGTGGATAAACCTGGCAGATATCACCTTAACCAAGTGATCACAGTTAACAGCCAGTAATTAGTCAATTAATATCATATGCCCTCTAATATGTGTTGAGAAGGGCACATCAACCTAGTGATATCCTTCTCAGTATGCATAACATCAATCTAATCAAGAGAACACATCAGACAAACCCAAACTGAGAGACATTCTACAAAATAACTGACCAATACTTTTCAAAATAGTGTCAAAGACATGAAAATATGAAAAGACTGAGGAGCTATCATAGACTAGAAGAAATTAAAGGGACAGGATGACTAAATGCGATGTGGGATCCGGGATTAGATCCGAGAACAGGATAAGAACATTAGTAGAAATATGGGCAACGTAAATAAAACCTGTAGTTAATAGTACTGTAGCAATGTTAATTGCTACAGTACAAACCAATTTCTTGGTTTTGATAATTGCACTATAGTTATGTAAAATGTTAACATAACGGGAAGCTTGGTATAGGATGTATGAGAACTCTGGACTGTCTTTGTAATTTTTCTATAAATCTAACATTATCTCAAAAGTTGAGAAAAAAGCTGAACTGCTGATACAGAGCCTCCTAGGTCAATAAACACATTTTTATTTATCCAGTTTTTTTTGGTTTTGTGTTTTTTTTATGTGAGGCAACCCTTGCAAGGACCTTGTCAGTTTACAATCCCTTTTTTTATTTTTTACGCTTACAGCTCCTGGTCTCCCATCCAAGTAATAAGTCAATTGACATCATGTGCCCTCTGATATGCTGTGGAAGCTAACCAGGCCTGACTCTGCTTAGCTTCCAAGATGAGACGGGATCGGGCTTGTTCATGGTGGCATGGTCACAGGCTTTACCCAGTATTTTAATGTCTCTCTCCTCCAGCCTATTATAAATTAATTCTGAGTTC